TAACAGACCCCACTTGAGTAGGACACAAGGCTGTTTGGTTCAGTTTGGTATATAAATATAAAAAAATTTCATAGTATTATTTAGAATTCATTAATAAGTTTGAGTGTTTAAAGTTGTGGTCTCATTAGGGCTATTCCTTGATCCTTGTCTACTTCTCTTCCCCATTCTCTCCCTCTGTTCCATATCAATTTGGTATATGAGCTTAAACTCCCATCACCGTTCCCTTCCCTCTCCATTCTACATCACCATGTCTCTCCTACATCACTTTTTTGTCACGACTTCCAAATCCTCACCCTTGTAGCATGGCCTAGTAAACATTGTCATTCTTCGGAGCTTTAGTTCAATAGACATAACATTTAAATATACACCAAATACAACTCTCTAAAAAAACAATATCAACACACGGATTCCATTAATTATGAAACTTTGTTAAGACCACTAATATATATAGAGTATCAAAAGTAGAATTCATCCCAATCTTTCTCTCTACTATATGGCTCCTACGTGGAACTCTACTCTCTTAATTATTTTAAATGTCACAACACAAGGGTAATCAAAATAAATCCACTTTTTGTGCGTAAGATCCTTATTTGTGTAAAATTCTAATACAATACATCCAATAAAGAATGATACATAAATTAATCCAGCTCTTTCTTTCCTAATCCAATCATCCATGAAATTAAAATTAATTTATTTTTATTTTGAAAAACATATTTTTTAATTTTTTAATCTGTTAACTAAAAAATGTTCTAGAAACTGCAAGCATTAATGAATCCGAATCTTATATAATATTAATTAATGAACCACACATGCAAATGACATATTTGGGCCAGTCTCCAACTTAACATGCTAAGGCCAAAAGGTTCATGTTTAAAAGGGTCCCTTTCTTTGGCTGAATTTATGTTCTAGATGAAAGAATCCAGTATTTATTTTTTTTAAACTTCAAATTATTGTAAAATGCGGAATTACCACAGCCAAATATAAAAGTACGTATTTTTTTGTTCAAAATAATTTGTTGGAGATAAATTATAAATATTATGAAAACTGGCAGTTGACACGTGTGATGCACAAAAAGGGTGACTAAGCAACTATGCTACTATTTGCACCCCAAACCTAAAACCAACTGGTAGAAGTGGCAAAATCGCTCAAGTTGTCTCTCTTTCAACTCACATGCAGAATTAGAACGAATTCAGATGGCTTTATGGTTTTTATGAATATTCATAAATTTTAGTTCATTTAAACATTAAAATTCATTAACTAGTCCATTACATAATAAATTTTGATCTTTGTACTATGTTACAATTTAATATTATATGAAATTATCATACATTTATTTACGACACAATTTCTTAGCAAAATCATTTAAGATTTTTTTCTTGAATTATGCATACATCACGACATACTTTCTATTCCACTTTTTAAATAATTTTTTGTATAGCTTATATTTTCTAAGTATCTTCAATTGCAAAATAAATAGTAAGTACAATTACATAATTAGAAATATTCTTTAATTTTAAGTTACTAATCTCTCGCACTTGAACATTATTTCTATGATTAAAGTGAGTGTTTAATTTATTCTGTTATAATTTAACATCGTATGTAATTGTCATAAATTTATTTAAGTTACTCTTTTATAACATGGTAAGACAGACTTAGATTGTTCTCTCATATTGTCTACATCGCAACATACTTTTTAACATAATATTACATATATCATATATGTACACACACATACACATAAATAATTTAACTAAAATTATCATATATATTTTTATAGCACACGATAATCCTAAGATTATGCTCCTACATTGCATCATTTTTTTTAAAATAATTTATATGCATTTTCACATAGACAAACATATAAATAATTCAACTAGAATTTACAAAACAATATTTTGATAAACAATTATTTAATCCTGTGCCTTGCACAACTGCCAATAAATCAACTACAAATTCCATTACAGTATCAATAAAGGTAGCATTGCTAGAGGCAGCCAAAGAATGTAACATGCCAAATTGCATAATGTCCCAATCTTATCTAACAAACAAAGCACACACAATTTAGTCCACATTAATTGGAGTCTGAAGGGGTGGATTGGGTACAAACCTAAACTTTGATCATTATGTATAAAGTCGGTGCTTTCATATTCAAACCAACAACATTAAGATTATTGGACCAATTTTAACCATTGAACAAGTGGCCCCTTGCATTAAAAAAATGGGACACAAAAGTATTGACATCAAGGATAAAAAATTGCTCCAGAAAGATGTCATGGAACAATACAATTTAGTGTGGCAAAAAACTGGTAAAAGAAAATGTCATTGCACAGTATTTCAAGATAACCACAATTTAGCTCATTTTGAACTTTAGAAAAAGAGCATCTATATCAAATTTCATTGTCGTAAGAGAATTCAAATAAACAAGTCAACTCTAGTGGAAGAAAGAGGAGTTCCACTTGCACAATCAGAAGTCTCGATGTCTGTTCACAAGTGGAGTAACTAGAAGCTGCAGGAAGGACAGAGGAATGAAGTGCAAAAAAGTTTGCATGTTAACCGAAAGGACAAATAAAATTTTGGATAAACATGAGAATAAGAAATTAAAATTTTGTTCCAAAAGGACCAAAACTATCAGAAGTTACCCACTTTCATTATTATTAGATTACTAATTTCAACTAATAAAAACTTATTCATGAAAGATTTGAAAATGAAAGAAAAAGAACAGCTGACTTATAGATTATTAATTTATTTTCCTTGGTATGATAATTTCTTGATTTCAATATAAACTAGGTGCACATATTCCAAAACAAACTTTCAGGTTTCAGAAACAGGTAGCAGAACAAGTTCTCTATTTCATATTCCAGGTGAGGAACTCTAGGAACAAGTTCTCTATTTCATATTGCAAGTGAGCAACTCTAGGAACACAAATGGACAACAAGTTTAATACTAAGGAACCTTTTACCACATTCAGATCAAGATAGAAGATCACCATGTACATGCATGTGCATCTGTTTATATGTCAAAAGCCTTATATCAAAGATAAATACAAAAGGAATCAAATAAAGATGACAAATTAAAACAATACCGAATAAGAAACAGCATAGTCCTTTTATGAAAAAAAAAGGCTGCCCATTTAGTACACATTAATGTGTGTTTGGGAGGGGAAAGATTGGATACACACCTAACCTTTGGCATAGGCCTTTTATACAATGATAAAAACAAGATTATATTGCACCCTGTTAGAAAAAGACTAGACAGAATTGACTTGATAATGGAATATTTAGAGCCTAGGGTTAACACAAAATATATGAAGCTGAAACTTGACAAAATGCTTCATTTATATGGTAAATGTTGGAAAGATTCAGAACAATACAAAGAAATATTAAAGATCTAGTTCATAAAAAACATAATGCACCTTAGTGGCAGATCTAGCAATTGCCTGAACAGTGGTTTCCTTACTGAGGAAGTGAACAGCATCTTCCATCATCTAGTTACAAAGTGAGCATCGAGTTAAAAAAAGCAGATGGTTAGAATAACTCCCAAGCTGAAGAAATGTCTTACTCAAGACAAAACTCAAAACAGTTCCAAGATGGTAAGGACTATTTAAGAAAGATTTATTCATGTAGAAGCAACAATTCCTCAATGAGACCTATACTCCATAATAGATAATCAAACCTTAAGAGTCAAGCATGGGCGAGAGACAGCAAACCCAAAAGCAGTAACAAGAGTGATTGCTGATACAGCAGCACCAGCAAATGGTGGATAAATTTTCAAACTGGCAACAACACCCCAACCCTCGGTTGCCAATGCAATCCCATAAAGCACAAGGAATGTCCACTGTTCACAAATTAATTTACAAATGAGAAATAATAAAGAGTGAAGCCAAAATGTTCAAATAGGACATTCAATGCGATTCCAAAGCTTCATTGATTCTATCATCAATGGACTTGATGCTAATTAGCACATGTGAAGCCATGAAGATAAGTCAGAGATTCCCAACATACCTGACATTTTTCCCACAATCTGCATGAGCATCATAAATATATACGGGAAGTACCCTTGGAGAATAGACTACAATAGGAGGTGAAAGAAGCACCTGCAGAAAAAAGGAGCATTCTGTAACACACAATGAATATGAAGCAAAACAACTGGAATAAACAATCAACTAATTCAAGACCTAATAATATTATTAGAGGACCAAAAATAATATTCAAAACTTGATTAATGATAGTCAGGTTTAACTCACACTCAACGCCCTTCCAGCCAGAAGAAACAAAAATGAAAAGTAACCAACAGATGCTCCAACAAAAGGTTTATCTGAAATGTAAAAGCAAATATGATAGTTGCATGGTAAAGTGGTACTCTAAAAATTTATTAACATAAATGACAGCAATTCAATAGATGAAGTTTGCTCATCCATGAAAAACGTCAAGCACAGTCTAAATATAATAAATGGAGTCCTTTTATTCACCTTCAAACCATCCAACAAGAAACGCTGCCAAAGCCAAAAGAAAAGCAAGGAAACAAACAAAGAACATCTGCATCCTGGTCAAATAAAAATTGTTTGAAGCCCAGTAGTGGATAACTCCAATAGCCAAAACAATGAGAAGAAGAACCAAAAGAAAGGCTGCCCCAATCTGTCACAATCACATAAGAAGCCAAGTTAGACACATGCACCATAACCAAAGACTAACATAAAATGAGGACACTATAGCAAGCTTTACTCACTGTCCAAGGATTAACAATAATGATAACAGCTGAAATTGCACCGAGCAGAAGAAGAAGACCAATGATAATGAATACATAAACACCTCGAGAAAGTTTCCAATTGTCATCTTTCCTGGGAACAATTTCCATAGAACATTTAATCAGATAAACATGTTTTTATCACAAATGATGTACCAATTTTTAGAAAATATTACACAAAAAAAAAGAAAAAAGTACAAGATTTAAAATGTGACATTCCGTTTCTGAACCCATGGTTGTTCACTTACCATTTAATCAAACCAGAACAAAGGCATAGCAATGCTGGAATGCACACTAAAGGAAGTAAAGCAGCAAGAAAATCAGCTTCCAATGGAACCTGGTCAACCCTAGAACTCACAACCTCCCAGTATGATGCACCACAGAAAGCCACTAGAACAACTACATAAAACAAGCAGGGAAAAAAAACTACATCAAAACAATGCTTCCACCTAGACCCAAAAAGAATTTTAGTTGGTTAAATATACAAATATATATATATATATATTTTTAAAATTGAACTAAATTAAATTAAATAAATAAAAACAAAGCAGTGACAAAGTTATGGTCAATGAGTTGAGACTTAAACTGAAAGCAAACATAGAAAACTTACCTGCAAATATGCCCACACATATAGCAGAAGATAGAGAGAAACGGTATGTAGCGAACCAGGATACAATTGGCAGCACACCAGTAACTACTAAAGCAATTGCGGAAGCCATTGCCCAGCCAAGGTACACAGATGATGCATACGGAGATGTAAAGCTATCATGCTCACCAGTCCATCCCTTGTAGCGTAAATCATCTAAAGGCTTGGCAGATACTATTGCACCAAGAGCCAAAACAGATCCAGCAAATAATGACATGCAGATGAAAAGAACAACACCCTGACAATGCAAGGTAACAAAGTAATCAGAAACAAAGCCAAAAACTCCAAGATCAGAAAAAGACATTTACATTTAAAGAAATAAGAAAAAGACTTGGTCCCAAAGAACAAAAATTCCATTGGACAATTAATCTCATTACCGAAAGTGCTTAGGAATAAAAAAAATTGCACTAAAAACAATACAACTATGCCCAACCAAAAAAACATAAGGGGAAAAAAATGAATGATACAAATATGCAGCTTTAGGTGATCAAGCCAAATTCGCAAGTGGCAAAAAACAATATTTACCACAAACATTGTTTACAATAACTGCTCTATAAATAAAACTAAACCATATTTAAATAAATAAATCTAGAGAAGATCCCCCGATAAGGAAGTTACTTTAACAAGCTAGTAACAAACAAGCAAGTTAAAAATTCATGATAATGTTGACAGTTGTGGAAGTGATGGAGAGTGTTGTAACACCTGTACTCTTTAAGTCAATGAAAACGCATTTAATTCCTTTATTTTATAGTTGGAATCCTTTTAATTGATCTTAGAACATTGATTGGTGTATCATCCTGTGGTGAGACTAGAACTTTTGGGTAGCTTATTGTCGGGGCTTTATTGTAGTCACTTGATTTACCCAAAACAGAGTTCAGACGAGAGAGCTATGTCCTTTTGTAGTTTGAGTGTCTGGGCCATCAGCACAGTTCACTCGAGTACAACTTTGGTCGCTTGAGCGGGTCTTTAGGTCTAGGTAGCTCTTAAGTTTCTGAAACTTGAGATACTGCGAGCCTTGATTCTTCACTAGAGCACACATTTGGCCCCTCAAGCAGTCTACTCATCAGTGACCTGAGTTACTACAAGCTTGAATTCTTCGCTCGAGCACAACTTTGGTTGCTCAAGCGGTCTGTTCTTCAGAAGTCTGACAGCCAGCAAGCCTTCTTCATTCACCGCTTGAGCGCAGTTTTGGTCGCTTGAGCGGTTTGTTTGAATTCAGCACATGAAAGCTGTCATTTTAAGTTAGATTTGTGGGTTCAAACTCACTTTTTGCCCTTGTACTATATATAGACCCATGCACCCTCTCTTTCCTTACTTTTCACTCTCTCTCTCTTCTCTCTCTAAAATCTTTACCCAAACTCTACAAAACCTTCGATCAAAGTTTAACCTTGCTCCTTTGATACAAAATATAAAGAGCGTCAAGAGCTTTATTTTGATCGAGATTGATCCCGTTTTCGACATAGTCGATTTTGGGATTTTTCTTCTCCTCCTCTCTATTTGAGGTAGGAATTCTATTATTTATGTATATTTGACTTACCATGGTTATGTGGTAGTTTGTATATACGGTTGTAGTGGTGATAACACGGTTGTAGGGTGTAAAAAACATAACACAATGGTTGCGACAACCAAAGCAGTGAATTTATTTTTTTTCGCACAACTTGGGGAAAGCTTAATGATAAACATGTTTTTATTTCAAAATAATATTTAATGACGTTTAAAATGGTTCTTGATGAATTTTGTTTGATTCTTAGCCATAATCCAATCTCTATATATAAACAAATCAACCATCAATTATACATATAAATGCATACAAGATATATTTAGAATAGTAAATATATCATAACTTGAATATACATCTTACAACTAATTAAACAGTATTTACATTTAAAAGTTACATGGAGAATTATTAAAAGCACAAAAATTGAAAATAAATTTACATTTAGTAAATAAATAAATTATTTGCTATCTTTAATCGAATATCTTTCCACATCCAAAAAAAAAAAAATTGGGTTAAAGCAAGGTTTTGGGCCATTGGGCTGTTTGGCTGGTTTGATGCTTTATAATGTGTATAAAATTCATAAATTGTAATATAAACTTTAAGCTTTTAAAAACTAAGAATAATGAATAAATAAAAATTTGAAGCCTTTGTCTCTTCCGTCTCCACCAAAGTGGAGATTAGTAGGTTTCACAGTCCAAGGCTTACGGATTTTCTTTCCCCATGGATGGAATGCGGCACTCTCTGACTAATCCCTTTTACTCTCTCTCTCTCTCTCTCTTTCTGACTCAAACAAAAAATCCCAAAAAATCCCCATGGAATACCACCAAAAAATCCCCATGGAATACCACCACCAGTGTCAACATCCTCTCCCTCTTATCCATCTCACTCTTTTTCTCTCATCTCATGCAAAATAATCCCCATGGAAGCCCCTGGTAAGTCAGCCAACACCCTCTCCATGTCATCCTCTCTTACCTCATAAAAATTTAAGATTCATAATTTCGTCGCTATAAATTATGGAAATTTTACCTTATTTGCAATGATTGAATTGTGGTTAAACATCATGAAGTAGATCTGTAGATTGGAGAGCTAAATCTTCTAGATCTGAGCAAGAAAGACTCTTTGAAGGTCAAGCTGTGTTTAACAAATGGGATGTCAAGGTCAAACTGTGTTTAACACATGGGAGGTCAGAATCAACCAAGAGGTATGCCAATAATTGCTTTGGAATATGTTTTTATGCAAAACAGATAGTTGAAGTGCGTTACAGTAGTAGTAGTAATGGCAACATAAAAGCCTGTTAATGGGCACAATGATACCGTTACAACTATTACAGCCATCACAACTACTATAACAGCCATTACATAGTTGATTTTCCATCACACAGCTAAAGCGGGTGTGACGTGTTGCGTCATCTGCTGAAACTGTTGCGTAATAGCCACAACTATTGCGTGACACAACTTTTTAGAACCTTGCTCATGAGATGTCGATCGAACACCGTGGGTCAACAAAATTTGTTGATTCATTCTATTATATATATAGATGAAAATGATTTGAGAAAAAAGAGACTGCAACCAAAGAAATAAGATAGTAGAAAGAGAATATAGATAAATGAAAAGATTAGATACAGAAGAATTGAGATGGTCTGATAGAAATGAGTAAAAGAATAGACAATATAGGTAGAGAAATCGAGAATAATAGGAGGGGAGAAATAGAGATGCTTAGAAGAGAAAAAGTAGGAAAGTAGGATAATACAAATGCGGAGAGCCAAAGCTCTTCCAAATGTTAAATCAACTTTCATTCATCTTCTGAAACTAAATTCATTAATAATTACAGATACCCTCTAAAACTCTTCCCACCCAACATAGTTTTACCTAATTGAACTTAGCCTCAATCCTTAAAACCACTAGAAGTCCAAATAAATTAAAAGTACAGCAACATTATTTAGAAGACTCCTAAATCAATAACAGAATTATCTTTGTAAGAGTCCCACATCAAGGCTGCTTCATAAAAATTGACCGGTGACAAGAGGAAAGAAGATGAGGTACAGAACAAACCTGCTTTAGTCCCAGCAATCGATGATTTCCTCCATGACCTGCACCATCAACTCTTGAAACCCAAAACTGGTAGCCATTACGAATCCATATAGGAATAGCAACAGACAAACATGCCACCATGAGAGGGACAGTCAAAGACAATCCAAGAAGCAGCGATGACTTGCTGTACAATGAAAAACAAGTTGAAACCACTGCCTCAACAATACATAAATATGTAGAGAAAGAAATATCAAATTATATTCATGCATTATGACATCAAAAAAGAAAAAAATGCTCGCATGAATTTCTTTGGCAGAAGATCAGACTGAGTTGTGATTTAATAAATATTGGTATTTAGTAAATAAATCACACCTGTTAACTAATATCAGAAAGCCGAGAACATTAATAACTAAACTGCATTAGGTTGACTGATGGTATATGGCTGCAAGGGGTCATTCAGGCCAACAGAAATATCCAATTGGCTGCAAGGGGTCATTCAGGCCAACAGAAATATCCAATTGGCAATAAAAATAAGTTCTACAAACACCCAAGCTATGATAACAACTTAGAGAGATGAGATTGACTAGAGACATTTCCAACTGTACCAGAACAAAAATATTATACCAAAAGCAGGATTCAAGAAGAATTAGCATGGTAATACACCATAAAATTCATTCCCAGAAAGTAGAAACTAACATTTTATTAACTGAGGCTTCTTAGGCTCTAATTTCAGCTTGTTCAAAAGGTAGAAATCCACAGTTTGAATGCCATACTGGCCAACAAACCAGATTTCCATTGGTAATGTACGTACCAGTACCAGTAAGTTCTTCGTTAGTTTCGGATTTTTCACTACAAATATTATATATTTATCAAAGATATTGTTCAACACCAAATAATCTTAGTATAAACATAAATATTTATCAACACAGGTATATATCTAAAAAATAATTAAAACAATAAATCATTCAGATAGAAACCAAAATATCCATATAGAATTTCAAGCAAATCTTATCAGGAGAGCCCTTTCACCGTTCATGAAAATGTATCATCACAATTGCCAATCTTCTTTAAGGACAAAAATTAGAAAAACAAAAGCAAAAGTGGCATGTGTCGGCAACACATGACTAGTCCATCATGTGAGCCATAAAGCATGAAGAAAAGAAAAGCTGGAAATCAACTGCCATTCCAACTTTACGACAAAAATAAAAAATAAATAATAAATAACAAAAAACAAAAAATCAAATCAATCTGATCTAGCAGTGGATGCAGTAGTCAACCATGAGTTCCCTATTCACCCAAATACGCACACAGCAGTCAGTAATGCACCGTTCATTTGAGAACAAGGAAAAGCGTAAGTCCAGCATGTCACTTTTAAAAACATACCTCACAAGACCGCATCCGACCCAATTTCAAAAGAATAAACAGTATTGAATAAATTTAAAGATCTCACAGTAACAACTTGAAAAAGAAAGTCAAACACAGAAAGGGAAGGGCATGAAATGTTTAAATCATTCCCCATGCACCATAATTTGTGTTCTAAACAAAACAAGAGTAGAAGTGTAAGAACACATGTATGGGAATGAAAATATAATATTCAAAGTTTCAAACATATCCAGGGTCATACCTCAAGAATGAAAGCAGCAGACTGACACAAGTGCTCAGCAGCCAAGCAACAAAACCATACTGAAAAAACATGGAAAGTTTAGTTTACATACCCAAAATCAATATCATTGCATATTTCATAGATGTAGAAGAACTGGAAAATCTACAAAGCATAGACAAGAACATGTTGAATGCATGTACTTTGCAGTAAATGGTTTTTAAAATATCACGAGTACAATAAGATTACATCAAGAAGAAGGAAGAAAGAAAGAAAAAAGAAAAGGTAGATCCAACAAGAAACTAGACATCAACCATTTTTAACAAAATTTTATGATTTTTGTTTCACAGTTCTTGATGATATCAGTATACCATACCTTATCAATAACGCTATTTTTCACATAGGTAATTGATGTTAAGCTGTTAACTACAGGTCTCCTCCTTTCTCCAAGCTTGCACAACAGATGGTCCGAATAAATTAATGAGGTTTTTCTAGTCGGAAAAATCAACCATGAAAACTATGTACGTAGACGGTGGAAAGGTTTCAAGAGAGAGAACCTCCTCCGCTTGGTATTTGTTTTCTGATAAGGAACGACTTTATAGATGAGGAAGTTAAGGACAAGTAGTCTGTTGCAAAGGGAGGAAAGAGAAGGACCCCATTTGCAGCACCAACAAAGCAAAAAAAGAAGAAATGAAGAATAGGATGGCCAAGGTCCTAACATCCTTGGTTTAGGGAATGGAAATGATTTTGAATCCTTGAAGAGTACCTCCTCTTTCCACCATCAAACAAATTGTACCTTAAATCAAATGACTGCATCCAAAATTTCTCAAATGACATGGGTACAACACCAGGAATCCCACACCCCTTCATCAACCATTTGAACTATCTCATTCAAAAATAAAATTCCTTATATTCATAAAATAAGATTTACATAGCCCCTTAATTGAAAGAAAAAAGTTCGCAGATGATAGCATTTTCTTTTCTTCTTAATGAAAGATGAGGAGATTGAGGAAAAGGTAGAAAAAGTTATTCCAAAAAATTGTTAAATGAAAAACATTTAAGAAACTTACAAGGAAAGGAATTTGATAGTGTTGACGGAACTAGAGAATATAAGTCCTATCATCGACTAAATAAGTTTGAGGTGAAATTTGCACTGAAGAAGACGAAATCAGTTAAAGGCATTAGGACCAAATTGATTACTATTGAGTCTTGGAAATGCTTAGGTAAGGCGGGGTATCTTGGTTAACAAAATACTTTAACAAGATTCTAATGACTAGGAAAATGCCTAAGAGTAGAATAAAATTATTTAGTACCTACATAAAAAAATAAAGAAAATATCCAAATTGCAACAACTATAGAGATATTAAGCTAATGAGTCATACAGTGAAATTGTGGGAAAGAATATCGCTTAAGGGTTATAACAACGGTGTCAGAGAATCAGTTTGGGTTTACACTCGGTAGATCAACTATGAAAGCAATCTATTTAAGATTAATAGAAGGGGAAAAAAAAAAAAGGAAGAAAATGAAGGATCTACATATGGTTTTTATAGATTTGGAAAAAGGTTTATGATAGTGCCTAGATATATAGTATAGTAGGTGTTGAAGAAAAAAAGATGTCACCAAAGGGTAAGTTGCAGTTCTAACTATGATTAGATCACCTATAGAAAAAAACTGTGAGTGATCTAATCGAAACATGTAGAAGTGCCTCAGCATGGCCAAGCGATGCTCTGGGCCACACCTTGGGATTCTCGGTGCTTTGAATTATCCACTTGGTGCATTGGCATGCAACTAATGCACTGAGCGCATTAGTGGGGCCTATCTAAAGTATTTGATGGTTCATGTGCCTAGTCTATCTAGGAGATGTCGAGACAACTCCAAGGACTAGCTACACATATATCATTCCTCCTCATATTGGGGGTGACGTAGAACCCATGCACCCAACCAAAAAACACATTTCTTTTTTATTATAAACAGAAATAGAAACATGTAATGCAACCAAATAACTCTAATTTGTGCAAAAGTGTGAGGTACAGGAACCAGGGAAGAAGACAACAGGAAAATTAAAAACAAACCATAAAAATGAAACAAAATGACATACACAGAAAAAATGCAAGTAAACCTTCCTGGCACCATTATGTTTAGACCTTTTATATACCTCGGTTCTTCCACCAAAAAATCTACGGTGGAGGAACAAGAGATAATTCAGAACACGGTAAACAATAAAACCACATCCCATGGTAGTCCTTTATGAAAAAAATCATTCCAACAGACAAGACACTACAAGGACAAAATGTAACCATCAAACTTCAGATAATAAAAGTTCAAAAAGCGAATAATTAGAATTCAAATACAACTTCAAGGACTACCACAACCCAAAAAAAAATAAAACTGAAATCAACATTTTGCCGACACATAATTGAAATGTCACCTCCATAATGGATAATCAAGCCAGTGACAACAGACTGATATTGGCAAAAGCAATTTAAATTCCTATCCCATCAAGCCAACTGATTATAAGTACCTTGCGCGGTTTTGAAGTCATAACCATTTCTTCAGCTTGAAGCGACCGAAGGAAAGCCATGATAGAACAGACAACAGGAGATAGAAGCAACACTGCAAAGCCAAATTCAAACTGCAGCAAAAACAAAAACAAAAACAAAAACAAAAAATAATAATTAATAAATATGTAGAACATCTTAATACCAAAATTCATTGACACCAACGTAGTCAGTGAAGACTATAAATTGCTCCCGACACTACGAGACAGATAGATACATACACAGGAAAAAGGCCCTCCTTACCTGCTGGTGTACAGCATTTATAAGTTCAACGGTCTTTGGGGGGAAAATGGCCACAATGACTGTTTCGATGATGAACATGAAACTGAAGAGAACCCATGCTCGCTCTGGAGTGCCTGCTATGTGGTGCAAAACCAGTCTGGAAAACTGAAGCCATTTTTCAAGCCCGTGAAGCCTAAGTTCCTCAGACAAAGAAATTTGATTGGGCAAAGCATTATCAACACTATTTGAGTCAATGATAGTTATATCAGTATTGTCACGATGATCTCTATCTGCATCCAAACTACTTCTCTGCAGCAGTGCCAGGATAGTTGGATCCAATCCCTTCTCCCTCAACATCATAGCAAAATTAGGATCTAGTCCTTTATCCTGCAACAAGCTAGCCAGTTCTTGATCCCCTTGTCTTGCTCTCTTTTTTAACATAGATGTAAGCCTCGGATCATTCAACTTTTCTTGGAATACAAGAGCTAAATTTAAATCTAGCACTTGTTGATTTGCTGAAGTTGATTCACTCGATTCACAGCCTTGACTCTCAAGACCACTACTAGAACAAACCACAAGAGAACGGTTGTGTTCAAAATTCTTATCAACATAGGATGTTCCTGTTTCAGTCTCTTGAACAACTGACCGAGAGGAACTACTATGTAATACCAAACTCGGCCTGCCACTATCTATGCTTTTATCACTATTAATCCCCTCCACATTATTCCAGCTGTTCACATCACCTGTGCAATGTGCTGCATCATTACTGAGGTGACCAACCTCAGCACTACTGCTGCGTTTCACACTTGAACCACAACCTTCAGAAGAGCTAGACGAACCGTTCTGTTCTTTCCTACGGAACCCCTCCCTCAGGCGAATCACTGTACTCTTCAAGGCATCTCTCCTTGCAGCTAAAGGGTTTGTGACTGATAAATGACGGGAAACAGCAGCCCCTAAAAGCACAGACGCTACAACTGCATAACTAACACAGTGTCCAATGTACCTGTAATGAGGGAGGGGGGAGGAATGAGACCAATAGTAGCAAAACAACTGCAAACAGAACCACGCAATAATGGTTGAAAGGTAAAATAAAATGTTAACAGTAAGAAACAAACCAATAATGAACTCCAAAGCAAATCAGAAAGACTCGTGATGTGCCAGCAACAAAAAGTGCTGCAACGCGACTCTGAAGAAGCTGAAATCCATATAAGCATGCCCCCATGTTCCAATCTGAAAGAACAAATCACCATAACCAAGTGAAGGAATTAGCAATAAAATTTCCAGACAGCAGCATGATTAGTTATATAGATAGAAGTGCATAATGACATACCAAGAATTATAACAGCAGCAGATGTAATTGCCCCCAGCCAATGCTCTTCCTTTGCAGTCAGACCATATAAGATGGAATAAACAAGAAGCACAGCAAGCGATCCAAGGTAGAGAAGCCCAAGATGCGAAGCCCTACAAATACAAACTACGTTAAGAAACATGTGGAGACAGTGCAATTAAGTTCTTGACTCTAATAGAAGCATAACATTAATTGCACAACAATTCGACAAGGAGGGGATATGACCATCTAAAATCATAATTTATAAGAATAAAAGAAAAGGGAGGGAGGAAGAAAGCATGTAAGATAAATCCATAGCAGCAAACAAGCTAGAAAATCCTCATATTATGAAATAAAAATCATGAAAGAAGTCAAACATATTATGAAATAAACTATAAATTTAAAAGCAAGAAAGAATGACTTGCCTTCTAGATTGTCGAGGGTATAACTCGTTGGGATCAGGCGGTTCAGGCAAGCAAGACAAAGGACCCACTTCAATACAATCAGAATATGCAAATTTGTATGCCTTTCGCACATATTCATCTACATCTAAACCATTTCCTGTTTAAAATGGAACAGTAAGAATAATTATAAAATAAAAAAAGGGAAAATAACAATAATAACTATGATCCTAACTAAACCATTCCTTGCATCAGCAAGAAAGCCTTCTTTTTTGGGTGAATCAAGGAAGCTAGTTAATTGTTGAATTAATTCAAGGCAGTAAGGGTCTAATGAGAAAATTAACTAACACAAGCATTTTCAAAGGCTTACCATTAAAGACCATTCTGCAAATAAAAAGCATGTTTATCGCTAGGGCAATTGCTGATACACCAAAAAAGAAACCGGAAGGTGAATATCGCTCAGATGCACTTGAACCTGCTGTAACATACACCGCACAGAGTTCGTATGCACATAGCATGGCAACAGCCAAAAGAAGAAGAACAGCAACAGCCCCTGTTAGAGAAGTGATCCAGTAAATAAGTAATAGGTCAAATATGGGGGGATTTAACAATAACATCTCATATTGAACGTGACAGCATGAGAAATCCAATTGCATCTCAAGATTTTGCTGAAGAAAAAGCTCAAGCAGAGTTCTAATACAACAATAGAGAGTCCAATACGACTGTAGAGACTAGAGAGTAAATATGTAAAGTGGACAACTATTTCAAGTCAAACTTCAATCAGCCCTTTGCCAAGAAATATTTTCATGAACATTATGTGAAATGCATTTCCTATATTAGCTTTTCATTTTCAAAAACCATAAATTTTAAAAGACTGTCAAATAGACCCCAAAAATCCAACAAAACAACCACAAATTTTCCCCTTCACAGTTTTGTTTGGAAAGTCACACCACTGTTCAAATTAATCAACTTACGTCAAAATATATCATGCTAACTATTGGGGCCTAGCTAGAAATTCTGCTGTGATATTAAAGAGTTCTACCATGGTAGGCTCCAAACTTACAGAACTGGGAATCATAGATTAGTCCCTGGTTCAATTTCCTTTTCAATCAATTTCTTGTGTCCATAAACATCTCACTAAACAACAATTAGTTCTACTAATTGGGGTTCAGCACCCAAATCCTTCTCCATTTGGCAAGCACAAAACTAAAGAAAATAGTACACACAGAAGGTACCCAGATTTTTCAACTCTGTTTGCGTAGAGGTAAAAAAAAACACATCTGGCCCATATCTAGGAGAAAGAAATGGCTGCATCAAATTGGCATATCGCGGTTTCTCCTTGAAATTATAAATCGTAGACACAGTAGTTGCATATCGCCCTACACTACAGTATCATTAGAAACAATGTAATTTTGGTGGGAAAAGAAAGATAATTTTGTAACTGAAGCTTGAGTTATTTTTTTACGCCTGATAGATAAACAGCAATCTTAGATTAGCGTTACTAGAACTACTAAGGACACACAACTCCATTTTTCTTCTCTATTTCTTCACTTTCAAATAGTTTCTCATCCACAAAACCCTAAAAGTCAATCTTTCAGATGTCACACATTGGAATGCAACTTGAATTTGTCTACGAATTTAGTGCAGGTCCTTAACTGATCGGATTTGATCTTGATATCTTTATTCCATGAAAATTAGAAGTAGACCTCATTCCTATAAATGTTGGATCAACAAAGGGGATTCCTTTTGGGAGACGAAATAATATTAAAGAGTGATCCATGTAAAAGTTGTGACTTATGGGCTAACTTTGTCTTACAAACCTGTACAAACACACCACTAATATCAGGAAAAAAGAATGACATGACCAAAAGCCACAAGGAAGAGAAAACCAAAATCTGGAAGTCCTTAACAATCCATCCCCTCAACAAGGTACCCATGAACACCAAATTTAAATTTTTATTTTTATTTTTTTGATCAGACCCATGAACACCAAGTAACTACAAATTCTATAACCTAGAGGCCTCAACTACTTCCAATTCCATCACATGTACCCCAAATAATACCTTGACATCTTTCCTTCAAAATCAACCACAATTCCAAAAATCAAGAACAACAGCAGCATTCATCGTGCTTTCAACCATGAAGGCACCATGACAACATAGTCTAATCTTACCAAAAAGCTGATACAAAATATTTCACATGAGGGCACAACTACTTAAAAAACATTACCGCAATAATGAGGAAAAAAAAAAAAAAAACCCTCCAAGCAATGTAAGTTGACCCAACCTCAAAATCTTATTCAAGACTGTTGTGCAAACAAAGATGGAAACTGTCAACCACATTAGGATTATGCAAAAGGAATTTTTTGAGGAAAAGAGCACCACTCCACCATTAAAACCTTAGTAGTAGTAGGAAACCCCAAGGGTTGGCCTAGTGGGTCAGCTTAGGGCTTGGGGGTGTGCTCCCTCCAAGTCTCATGTTCAACTCTCACTAGGTGCTATTAACTCCTTGGGGCCACGCTCGCGGACTCTGCCTGAGATTTGCTTGATCTATGTGGAGGGGTCTCTTTGCATGGGTCCTAGAATTAGCCAAGGTGAGCGAAAGTTGGTTCGGACACTTGGTCATAAAAAAAACTTTAGTAGCAAGAAATTTTTACTTGGATGATGTTTCTCACTCAAAAAACTAAATTCCACAGTCCTAAGTAAGAAACTTGCTCCCATCAATGAAGAAATTCTCTCCTAAATGAGATAAAACCTCTCAAACGTACAAATCTCCAATAAACAAAAGAAAAATAACAACTTATTCTAGTACTTTCTATTTACATAAATAAATAAATAAAAATTCTATCCACAAGAATGAATATTATGAATAAAATAAAAAGAAAAATGGTCAAGTACAAAAGGCGGGAGACAAGAAGTCCATCGAGATAAAAGGGGAAAAAAAGAGAAGGAAAATACATGTTCACATTCTACAAATGGCTCTCCAATCCCTAGAAATTTTAAATTTAAAAAAAGTACCCCTTTAGAAGCAAGGACCCACTAGCGCCCAAAAAGAGGTCAAAAAACAAATCCTTTCCCAAATGCTTTCAATATCTTCTTCTTTTCCTTGCAAAATTGCTAGCATTCCTTTCAAGCCACAAGACCCAAAGAACCGCACAAACCACACAACTTCAAAGAACTTGTGCCTTGCCATTTGATCCAAAACCTCGAAAATCAATACAACGCATATGCTCACAACAGAATAGAATAACCCAACCACCGCCAAATAAAAAAATCTCCACCATAAAGAAAAAGCATAGGGACATTGTAAGAAAAGATGATCCATGCTCTCCTTACATAACACACCATTGTCAAAACAAGTAACAATCTGCCCCTTTTCTGTGAATTACGTCATTAGTATTAAGCTTCTTGTGAAACACTTAACAAACAAAATTTGTACTTGACATCAAGCCTAATATTTATTCATATTTCAACACGTACGAAGAAAAAAAAAATTATTAGAATATATTTATATATTAATATACACAACATATACATGCTCCCTACCCCTACTCCCGCCTCTACATCTGCTTCATCCAACTAAGATTAAAACAAATAAAATATTATATTTCACACACAATACACCCTCATTGACAACAAGCATAGTATACTATGCCCATTAGCTTAGTTATAGTTTAAGGGTACTATAAATTTCCACATTTGAATAAGAACAATGACTCTTTGTCATGTCTGACAAAAGTGATCATCAAGCGAAGAAGTGTCATTTTTCACAATGAGTGTGTTGTAGACACACAAAATAAACCTTTAAAATGCAGGATGGACGTGTCATAGCATTGATAGGAATTGTAACAAGACAAGTTTTGAGAGCCATTCATTTCCCGACATCCCTCCCCAAATCTGTCCCAAGCCCATCAAAGACCATAACAGGACAACTATAATGAACATACATGAATAGCATAAAGTAAACTGTACCTAGAAGGCCTCCTGGCTTGAGAGACTGCTTGAAGGGTTGAAAGTTAAAAAGATTGTTTTTTATTGTGAAAGGAAGAAATCTCTGGGACCAAATGGTTTTACTATGGCGTCTGCCTGTCATCTATTTGTTTGTGGCCATTCTCTAATCTTTTCACTTTCTCTCATACCCTTTCATGTTGCAGGGGGTCCAAAATAAACAGTAATAATAATATCACTTAGAGAGGCATAGCTATGTTAATGGGTCAATAATCTAGGAAGGTTGGAGAGTGAGTAGCGGGGTGAGAGTGGAGCAAGTGATTCAAGGAAAGAATATGGCAGTGCAAATGGGAAGCATATCCCCTCAAAACCCCTATACATTCTTTTTGAGCTTTGGAAAATGGGTCCTATTTATAGGATTTTGCTTGATACTTGAATATACCAAGTGACCAAATAGTGCAGCGACACGTGTCGCAGGATATTCTATCCTAAACCATCAGACCTTGGTAGACGCACGTCCCTTGACATGTACTATCTATTTGGCACAAAGCCCCAGCAAGTGCTACTTTACTATTTGTTTGGCACAAGTTTCAACATGTACCTTTTTTGGTGCGAATCTCAACAAGTGTCGTTTTGGTACAAACCGCTGGAGGTGCACCTACTTCGATGGCACTCTCTGCAATGGTACTCGCTATGGCACCCGCTTTCTCAGTTCAATTTCCCAAAACATGCACTCTTAAGACTTATGACCTGCTATTGGTCATGCTTGCGTCTACCTTAGCGACTTATCCACTTTTAGCCACCTAACCACAAACTCCCCAGCTACCTAGGGCACGGGCCACAACAAGGGTTGTGCCTCGTACCAAGCCCAAGGGGGCTTCCTTGCTCCTGTCAGTGCAACCACAAACTCCCTAGCTTCCCAGGGCACGGGCCACAGCAAGGGTTATGCCTCGTACCAAGCCCAAGGGGGCTTTCCTTGCTCCTGTCAATGCAACCAAGACAGGTCCTTGACTTGGATAAATGGAAAGAGAGACTCTTACTTTCGGGCTACCCTGCTTTCATCATCGATGGGTCGCCACAGTATATCAGTATCTTCGGCGCCTGCTATCGACACCAACCAATAAGCGTTGGGGCCTGCTATGAGTGCCAAGCTATACATGCTTTGGGCCTACTATCAGCCCTAGGTTGCTAATCCCTTAGGGCCTACAATTAACGCCAAGCATCTATGTATCATTTTGTATGGAGCCAGTCTCCCTCAAAGGTTGCTATCACCTTAGGGAGCTGCGCCTCATAAGGTAGTTGCGGAGGTTAAAGTTGCCTCGACTCCCTTCCCCTCAACTAGTGTCAAAGGCGGTGCTGCAATAATCTTTTGATAGGATGGCAGCGCTGAGGTGGGGTTTGCCTCAACAACTGGGCCGCGGCATGTAGTACCTCAGCAAGTTCTCTTGGATACTTGTTACTCTTGGCCCATTTGGCCCAAGTGGGTTAGATCTGGTTTAATCTTCTGGTTGACCCATTTCCTTTGGATTTTGACTCATTTCATTTAATGATACTTATTCGCCTAAATTGCGACTTTAGTGATAAAGTTGGTGCCTTAATTTCTGCCCTTCTACACATGCAAATAGATTGGATCTTAGCCTCTAATTTTTTCCCTTGGGAGGTATGTTCCAAGATTGTTGCAAGGTGGTAAAAGGTGACTTGATAAAAGTTTCATGGAATTTTTTGTGAATGGAATTATCAATGTTTGCACTAATATTTCCTTGATTTGTTTGGTCCCTTACAAGAAGAATTCCATGAAAATTGGGAATTCTAGATCTATTAGCTTGGTTACATCGTTGTATAAAATATCGGTTAAAGTTTGTCTATGAGATTGAAAGCAGTCTTGAGAGATACTAATTCTATTAATAGGAGAGTTTTTATTGAGGGTCGTAACATTTTAGATGTGCCATTGATAGCCAATGAGGTGGAGTATAGAGCTCAAAAATACTCATTTGCAACCTCACGATTGTGAAGAAGTGGTCATTTCATGAAAGTCTTAAGAAGTGGATGCATGGGTGTCCAACTTCTTCTAGCTTCACGATTGTTGTTAATGGAAAGGCAAGAGATACTTTCATCTACCTCCATTTCTATTTACTTTAGTGGTTGATGAGATCTTGATAATGCCCCCTTTACCTAATTGCCCTAGATTACCAGAGAATATCCAGGAAAAGTTTCAACCTGCTTTTTTATGTGAGTTGCTGCATAAATCTATGGTAACCATACACATTAATTAAGAAGAGAGTCCAGCAATCGATTAGTAGATGACCCTATGATTTACTCAAGTGTTAATCACAACAACAGACCTAAAATATTTCATGGGACTAAACACTTGACCACACAAAAGCCTTAACCTTTTGGGGCCATATTGGCTCCTCAATCCAAACCCCCTAAAAGAGAAGTAACAACCAAATTGGAAGACAAGGAACTCTACAAATACACACACACACACAAAAGGGGTTTAGAAATCCAAAAGAGTAAACAAATGTAAAGGAGATTATTCAAATTGAAAAGATGAGAAAGGATCCATTAATTTAATGGTCATTTCAACTTTAATACAGGTCCCACATCTGCCATTAAAACATGAGAAGAAAAAGACCTTGAAATAGAAGAAGGGAGAGAAACTTCAGTAACATGGACCACTTAAACTCTAGAAAGCCTTACTGTGGAAAGAAAGTTCCAATATGAAACTTGCCATACAGTAACTAGTAAGATAAGTATATCATGATGGAATTCTGATTTTTAATTTTTAAACCCTGGTTGAAAATAATAAGTCTAAATAATAGTATCAAAGACAAATGTAATTTATTCAAAAAAAATAATCAATAACTTGAGTGAGTACATACTTGAGCTTTGCCATTGTGTCCTCCACCATAGCATAATAGAATAGAATGCCAAAAGAAGAGCAGTTCCAGCCATTATCACAGCCAGACCAATTATATCTCGTCCAAGTATTAAAATTAACCAGCTTCCCCAAACAATGAGTATCACAATTGGAGAAATAACAATCATCCATGCAAACAGAGACAAGAAACCACATAGTATTCCCAAATGAGGTCCTTGTAAGAAATTTGGCCATTTTCGAGCAAAGATCCAACTGAAAAAATATAAAATGGCATGATCAATAGCCTTATTACCATAATTGAAACAAACTACAGGCTAAGGAGGACACAGTAAGTGTGACAAACTGTTATTTAAGAGTAATAAACAAACCAGTTACAGTTGCTCCAGAAACAACAAATTAACCATTCCATGCACACAAAAAATGAAAATCAAGAATATAATACAAAATGAAAAATGACAGAAAACTTCTATGAGATTTTACAAGCTCCTCCAAAGATGCAGGCATATGGGAGTTGGGACAAAGAAGGATATTACCATGAGGGTGGCCAACCAGTAGAGTCTCTTTAAATTTTACTCAATGGATTGTTCAACTAGTTATCGTCAATTCGACTTTTTTATTGTATAGAATCCATCAAAAGCAGCTTTCAAATTACTAGTAGACCATAAAAAATATAAATAAATAGCATGTAGAAGACAAATTTTGATCAATTTTCAACACAAATTCATCAAATAATCCATCCAAAACTCTCTTTACAAATATAAGAATTTAGTGAGAGATTAAAAAGATTGAACCAACCTAATATGGAGTACGCAACAATGATTACAGAAAACGTGTAAATCTTCCAGCAAAAATATTTAGGGGTACTAAACAACATATTTTATATTGTTCTCTAGTCATATTCTTCTTCAATCAGCTCTTTCTAGCAATTGAGGTGTTGTACTAGTTTATGATTTTTTTATGGGCTATACACTTGATTGGCATTGACCCTCTTAGTTGCAACTCTTCAAATGCTAAGAGTTTATAATCTAAAATCTAAGAAGCACAAACACCGACACAGACATAGACACGGGACACGGTGATTTCAAATATATAGGGGCACAGACACGACTTGGACACGGCAACAAAATATTTTTTCATATGTATTTTTATTTGCTATGTAGATTACTATTACATTGACATACAATCAAAATTAACAAAAACTAAAACTAATTCAATATTTTATTTAAAAAAACCACTTTCAAATTAATATTTATCATTTATATCTTCTTTATGAATGATTTATTAAGTATTTAAATCTAAGCAAAAAGGAACAAACATTCAACATCCAAATCTACCATGGCGTGTCACCAAAGTATCCCTGCCGTGTCCCCTGAAACATATATATATTAAATAAAGGGACACGCCATGTGGCGTGTCCTCGCTATGTCCTCGTGTCTGACACGGCTACAACACTTATTTTGAAGTGTCAGTACTTCATTGTCTAAAATCATAAACTTAAAAGGATTCCTCAACTTTCCAATAATCAGTCCCCCCCCATAGGGTTCAGAAACGCGCGCGGGGGGCGTTTAGTTAAGTTATTTTTCACTAATAAGTAGTACCAAACACTTGACATTCACTCCCAAAAGAAAAAAATGGAAAATCAAAAGCACCCTCCTCCATAAGTTGCAATAAACAAGGACAATTTTATTTTTGGTTAGACCATCAGAATTTTGCATAGGTTGAATCTTTTATTAGAATTTTGAACGGGAACAATCTAAGAAGCACAGACATGGACACAAACACTGACAAGGACAGGGCGATACAACACAGACGCAACATGGACACACCGACATAATTTTCAAAAAATGCAAGGCATGACATGTGAAGGATACACACAAAACACATAGTTTTATGTATTCATTATATATCATATATATAAATATATCATTCAAAGATAATAACAAAAAATGTAACATAATACTAGTTTTTGTAAATCTACATTAGTTTTATTTTATCTTGTCACCCTAGGTTATTTTGTTCAAACTTATAATTAATTTCATGTGTGTCCAAGTGATGGACAAGTCTGTTCTTTAAGTGTTCGAAGAGTGTCTAGATCTAACAATATTAAAAAATAATAGGACACGTTTGGATGAGTGTCCCACATGTGTTGAAAAGTGTCTGAAAAAAACATGTCTCATAAGGGACAATGCATTAGACATATTCAAACCTTCCATACGGTGTCCTTCGTTTGTAATTGTTATTGAAAAGCTAAGTGGGGGCATGTGGAAGAAGAAGAAGAATGTAGTCAAGCAATAAAAATAAAACCACAAACCAGAAGTAGCACAAATTACGCTGTCATCACAGCTGTATTTGATAGAAATATTACACCATTATCATATTCAAAAAAGAAAAAAGAAAAAAAAAATCATATTTCAATGCTAGAAAAAGTGTTGTCATGATGATCCTTGAACAATTTCAACCACTAATCAACCAAATGCAAGAATAAAATAATAAATCAGCCAAAGGTACGTAAATCTATGTTCCATGGACTCGAGTACAAGTATCGGGTGCGGGTGCGGGTGCGGGTGCGGGTGCGGGTGCAGGTGCAAGTCCAAGCGTCAGACTTTCATAAACTTAAAACCTAAGATATTAGGATATGTATCCAAAATTTGGATAGTCCAACATGGACATGTCTTGAACATTTCCTCATGGACACATATTTCATATTATATGATATTTTAAGATAAAATGTTAAAATTATGTCAAATTTACTTAAAATTAAATACGATTTAAGAAAAATATGAAATTTTTACCTCTCGTCCATGTGAGAGGCTAGAAAATATTTCCTTACTTGCAAATGTGAGTTTCTTCTTCTTCATACATCATTAACAAATTTGAAAATTCAAGTGTTTGAATTGGATACTAGTGTCGAACACATATCCTACACATATCCTGCACCCTTACCCTTGTTATGCTCAACAAACACAAGTACTTTGAGGGAATTAGAAGAATCCATGTAACACAAGTAGAAAATATCATTTTGTACTGCTTGAAAACGTAACATTGTTGCAACCCCAAAGGTTGGCCTAAAGGGTGCATCTTGGGACTTTGGGGTGTGCTCCCTCCAGATCTCAGGTTCAACTCCTATTAGGTGCTATCAACTCCTTAAGGCCACACTCACGGGCTTTGCCAGAGATTTTCCTAATCCACGTGGAGGAGGTGCTTTGTGTGGGTCTCGAGATTAGTTGAAGTATGCGTAAGCTAGCCTAAACACTCCGATCATAAAAAATTAAAAAAAAAAGTAATATTGTTGCATTATTATTGTTCATAAGATGGATAAATGTTCCTCTCCATTTTCTTTCATAATTGGATCATAAAATTGGTTTTGCCATCTTAGGTCCCCGATTTTTAGTGTTTATGATTTTCTAATGATTGTTAGCATATCTTTCTACCTCTGTGTTACATTAACTCTTTTATTTCCCCCAAAACACTTGTGTCCACCAGGTATGAGAAGGGTAAGGGTGCGGGATATGTGTTAAACACCCATTCCCAATTTAGACACTTGAATCTTCAAATTTCTTAATGATGTATGAAGAAGAAGAACTCACATTTGCTACTAAGGAAACATTTCTAACCTCTCACATGGATGACCGTTAAAAATTTCATATTTTGCTCATTTGTCTTTTCACATGCATGGTTGTTAGAATCTTACAATTCATACAATTTGATACAAGTTTCAACCAAAGCGATTTGATTCATGCTATTGAATCTTAAATTGAGTGAATCTTACGATTTATTGTAATCTAGATTTGTTTACATAATGTATGAAGGAGCGTCGTTTTCTCCAAATAGAATAAGAGATCAATTAATTACATTGATATACATGGTTTTACATGTATATACATATTTACAATCTAGTAATATTAATATTAAATTCATTTTAAACATTGTGTGTAATATAAGTATATACATATATCAAATTATAAATTAAGATTCACGATTCAATACCATTCATGATTCAATAGTTTAGCAAAATGATTCATGATTTGACAACAATGCTCACAAGTCTATCATATTTATTTTTTATAGAAATCCCTAAAAAAGTGTTGGTACTGGTTTTCAAAACATTCAAACAGCTAACTATACATTGTGCCAAGCTCCCCTAATTGCTGCCATCTATTCAAAATAAGCATATTCTATTCCAAAGCATTTTTCTCCGTTTCCTATATGCATATTTTGTGCTCCCCTAATTGCTGCAATCATATTCAAAATAAGCCTATTCAATTCCAAAGCATTCCCCTTGTTTCCTATATACATATTTTGCGGATGCCATTACACATTTCTCTTCCCCAAAGTGTTCCTAGCAATTGGGATCAAGGCAGACAGAAACATGAAGATTAGAGTATCAACATAAATTAACAGAATCTCAACACAGGCATCTTCAACAAAGCATTCAAGATTATGCGAGAAAAATAAAAATGCACTATACTTGCAATTTAGAAACTAGTAAAAAATGGAGGCATAAGTGAGTGAACACATGGTCCATAAAATATGCAAAATAGTAATGGGACATGATGATAATCACCTATAAATCCGCCACGGCCGCCAATTTACTGCCCAGAGTAGAGAAAAAGAAGCTGAACCCAAGAGAGAGAAAAGGGTCCCGGAAATTACACATGCCAATATTAATTCACGCTCGTCTCCTTCCATGACTTTGTTACCCCTTTCCTCTCCCAACTACAACATACAAACATCAAATCAACAACAAATTCAGACCCACACTCTTTTTTTCTTTTTTTTTCCTCCGAAAATGAAACCCTAAACCCAATTTCAATTTCAATTTCAATTTCAATTCAAAGGTAGAGTTTTCAGAGCAAACAAATAATGAGATTATAGTAATGGCGTTGTTGTGTAAGAGATGAGAAATAATAGGTTTTACCTACTTCAGTGAAGTTGTCTCAACTGCTTCGATAACTTCCAGTGCCAAAATTGAGCCATTCCTCCACAGATTCCCAGCTCTCTGCTGCAAATAAGGCGGCTTTTCAGCTCAATCGAGTGTTTTCATCTTCTAGGGTTTTAGAAATTAAGAGAGCGAAAAGATGGAAATCGTGACTTTATCTTCTTTCTGTTTCTTCCAATTGTTTGTTTGGAGGTCGAAAGAGAAAGATAGATAGAGATAGAGAGAGCGAGAGAGAGAATAAAAAGATTAAAACCCTACAATCCTGTGTGTGTGAGTGAGTGAGAGAGGCGTTACAAGGAAAAGATAGATAAAACCAAAAAAAGGGGTTTTGGTTTGGTGTTTAGAGAGAGAGGAAAGTCGCTGGAAATCAGAGACGGTGTAGTCACACACAATAAAATAACAGCTGTCTGTTACAATGCGTCTATTGTCTGAGCGGATGCCATGCCCACGCTTCATGTTGACTCGTGCTTACTACGCTCCAATCCCCAATGTCCAAATCTCTTGTTTCTATCAAATAAAAACCTTATGTTGTGTTTAGTTGGGGAATTTAAAAAAAAATTAAAAAAAAAAAAATGTGTGAAATTAGGTAACTTTTCCTTTTTTCTTTTCCAAACCCCTCCTAAAATCTTCTAACCAAACACAACGTTAGTTTTTAAATAGAAATTTAAAAATTTGACTAATAATTTTTTGTTTCAATTATTTTTTTAATTAATTTTTTTTTCAAATAATTTTTTTTCAATTATTTTTTATTCAATTAATTTTTTTTCCAATTAATTTTTTTTAATTTAAATTTTTTTTCAATTATAATGTGTATAATCCCATTGTCATAAATAATAAAAAAATAAATATAAATATTTTAACCCTAAACAAACATCTTTTTTTGGTTATATTTATAAAAATTTTCAAATATTTTGTTCAAACCAAACACATTTGTAGTTTATGTTTTTCTAAAACTAAACAAAAATCAGTTTATAAATTTTTTATAAATATAAACCAAAAACGTAAACGTTATCAAACGCTACTGTGGGGACATATTTTTAGGTAGTCCACGTGGCTGAGGTTGTTAGCCAAGATGCCATGTGGGCAGACCATGGTGCGTGGATATGGTGCGCTAATACCGGAATTCGAGATATTTTGATAGAGGACTAGAGTCTTAGATGATATCAAGCTACCTATTTGGATAAAGATAGGACTCTTGAGGGAGTTCATCTTAATTTGAATAGTGTGAGTTGTGATAAATGTTATCCTTGTAAAGGATAGAGTCCCATGAAGTAAGACTTCTAAGGGAAGTTGGACACTGATCATTATAAAAGTAAGGCACCCTCGTGAGTTTAAGGTATGCTTTATTTGAGATGCTTTTATGTTTCATTGTTGAAGTTTAAGTGCTTGTATTGATATCTGTAAGAGATATGATTACTGACTTGATCGTCGAAGTGCCTCCGGTGCACGAACCATCGTGGTATTCTCATATTCTTGTTGGCAGGTGTTCAGGCTTAATTTATTCTGCCGGTGCTCTCCAGCTAAGTTCCCCGTTTGGTTGTGTGATCGGAAATCAACACCCATAATTTGGCACTGTCTGTGGGAACTTAGTTAGAATAGATAGCCATCATCGTATAAGATCAACATGTCGACAACGACTAGTTTAGCGAAGATGGAGAATGTGTCGACATTAACGGAATGAAGACCCTTTTCAGAAGGGATGCAAAGACAGTAGGCATGAGCGCTTCCAAGGAGATGACTTTCAAGTATAGAAGGATTCGCCTAAGTAAGCAGATCCCGGATTCCAAATCCCGAATCCCAGATCCCAGAAGACAAGATTTCGGCCTAGATGTGTAGGTTCGAGAAGACAAGAGCTCAACCCAAGTGAGCAGATCTCGGATTCCAGATCCCAGATCCCAAATCTTAGAAGACAAGATCTCGGCCTAGATGATTAGGTCCGAGAAGACAAGAGCTCAGCCTAAGTGAGCAAATCTCGGATCCCAGATCCTAGAAAACAATATCTCGGCCTAGATGAGTAGGTCCAAGAAGACAAGAGCTCAACCTAAGTAAGCAGATCTCGGATTCCAGATCCCAGATCCCAAATCTTAGAAGACAAGATCTCAGCCTAGATGATTAGGTCCGAGAAGACAAGAGCTCAGCCTAAGTGAGCAGATCCCGGATTCCAGATCCTGAATCCCAAATCCCAGATCCTAAATCCCGAATCCCAGATCCTAGAAAACAATATCTCGGCCTAGATGAGTAGGTCCAAGAAGACAAGAGCTCAACCTAAGTAAGCAGATCTCGAATTCCAGATCTCGGATCCCAGATCTTAGAAGACAAAATCTCGGCCTAGATAATTAGGTCCGAGAAGGCAAGAGCTCAGCCTAAGTAAGCAGATCCCGGATTTCAGATCCCGAGTCCTGGATCCCAAATCGTAGAAGATAAGATCTCAGCCTAGATGATTAGGTTCAAGAAGACAAGAGCTCAACCTAAGTGAGTAGATCCTAGATCCTAGAAAACAAGATCTCGACCTAGATGAGTAGGTCCAAGAAAACAAGAGCTCAGCCTAATCTCGGCCTAAATGATTAGGTCCGATAAGACAAGAGCTCAACCTAAATGAGTAGATCCCTGATTTCAGATCCCGAATCCCAGATCCTAGAAGACAAAATCTTGGCCTAGATGATTAGGTCCGAGAACACAAAAGCTCAGCCTAAGTGAACAGATCCCGGATTCTAGATCCCGGATCCCTGATCCTAGATCCCAGAGGACAAGATCTCGACCTAGATGAGCAGGTCCGAGAAAACAAGAGCTCAGCCTAAGCGAACAGATCCCGGATCCTAGATCCTAGAAGACAAGATCTCGGCCTAAATGATTAGGTCCGAGAAGACAAGAGCTCAGCCTAAATGAGCATATCCCGGATTCCAAATCTCGAATCCCAAAAGACAAGATCTCAGCCTAGATGAGTAGGTCCGAGAAGACAAGAGCTCGGCCTAATGAGCAGATCGCAGATCCTACAAGACAAAAAAGAAACACACAAGATCAGACTGAAATTGGCCAGGTTCCGCCTATCGGCAGAAAGCCATCTGTACATAAGGACTTTTACTGGACCTCTATTGCGATGTGTACATCCTTCCCAGGTTGAAGACTTTTTACACGAGATCCATGCAGAGGGCAAATCCCTTGCCTATAGAGCTATATCATAGGGATTCTGGTAACCCTACATGCAAAAAGATGCCGAAACCTATGTAAAAAAGCGTGAAAATGTTGTTGGAATCTATGATTGTGCGATAAGACGGAAATATCTTATGGCGATGTTCCCATGGTGAACATGACGAGTAACTTAGACTTACCATACGGTAAAGGTTAATTATACTTGCATATGATAGGGTTGAACTAAGTTGGCAATGTTTCTAAATGAAACATGACGAATAAATTAGACTTATTATATGGCAGAGTTGAATTATACTTGCATATGATAGAGTTGAACTAAGTTGGCGATGTTTCTGAATGAAACATGACGAGTAACTTAGACTTATCATATGGTAGAGTTGAATTATACTTGCATATGATAGAGTTGAACTAAGTTGGCAATATTTCTGAATGAAACATGACAAATAACTTAGACTTATTATATGACAGAGTTGAATTATACTTACATATATTAGAGTTGAACTAAGTTGGCAATGTTTCTGAATACCTTAGACTTATCATATGGTAGAGTTAAATTATACTTGCATATAATAGAGTTAAACTAAGTTGACGATGTTTCTGAATGAAACATGAAAAGTAACTTAGACTTATTATATGGCAGAGTTGAATTATACTTGTATGCGATAGAGTTGAACTAAGTTGGCGATGTTTCTAAATGAAACATGACGAATAACTTAGACTTATTATATGGCAGAGTTGAATTATACTGGCATATAATAGAGTTAAACTAAGTTGGCAATGTTTCTGAATAAAACATGACGAATAACTTAGACTTATTATATGGCAGAGTTGAATTATACTTGCATATAATAGAGTTGAACTAAGTTGGCGATGTTTCTAAATGAAACATGACGAATAACTTAGATTTATTATATGTCAAAGTTGAATTATACTTGCATATAATAGAGTTGAACTAAGTTGGCAATGTTTCTAAATGAAACATGACGAATAAATTAGACTTATTATATAGCAAAGTTGAATTATACTTGCATATAATAGAGTTGAACTAAGTTGGCTATGTTTCTGAATGAAACATGACGAATAACTTAGATTTATTATATGATAGAGTTGAATTATATTTGCATATAATGGAGTTGAACTAAGTTGAATTACCTTGGACTTGCCATATCAGCAGAGTCAAACTCAAAATGGAACTAAGTTCATTAACAGAGAAACCAAGGTGGAAACACCTCGGGAAGCCTTTGTTTGAATCTGACTTCGGCAAAAGACCATAGTCACATGCTTAATATGAACTTAAGTGGAACTTAGGTTCACATTAGGGGGCAAGAAGCTAGAGTGATGAACAAACTTAAGAGTTTGACTCTTGTTGAAATTTTCAGAAATGGGCTTAACACTTGTTAAAATTTCAGAGAAATTTACAAGTTGGAGTTAGCCGATGCAATGATGAATAAAGTATCCGAGATACATGTTACCCAAGGTGACCAACCAGGTTGTCAAAACTTGGAAAGGGTGAAGTTTTAATAGAAGATAGCGTATAGAGGTAAAAAAACAATAACACTTGCAAAAATATTTTTATTTTTAAAGTGTTGGCCAAGGTATGAAAATGGTTAGCTGAGGCAAATAGTCAAGGTTTATTCGAGGTATTCTATCCCGGAGTTATTATACAGTTAAGGTACACTTTGAAGAAATGCAAAAAAAAATTGAGTTTGGAATCATGAAAAACATAAAAGAAAGCAAACATGCATAAAAGAAAAGAAGACATACATTCAACACTTGGAAGAAAATATAAGACTTGTATTCAGAAAAGAAACTTGTTCAGATACAAAAAGGCACTTCGGCCTGGTATAAGAGATTACGTGTTCATCTACAAAGACAAAAGGGACACATCGGCCAAATATAAAGCTAACATTGTTCAAACAACAGATTACAGCTGTCCAAAAGTAAGAAGGAAAAGTACAAAAAGGAGGAAAAACCAAAGTTCATGTATTTTCCACAGTCTGCCTGCCTTGGCAAGTGGTGTTGTGTCAGCCTTGGCAGACAGTTGGACAGATTTTTCAACTTAGACCTTGGCGTCGATCTCACGCAGTGTGTCATCTAAGCTCTTGTTGGCAGTCTCGACCTCGCCCTCAAAAGTGGTCTTTTGAACCTCATCATTTTCATCTTGAGTCAAGTCAAGGACTTGCTCATTCAGAGTTGGGGACTTG